GAAGGTAAAGTTATGTGTTACTATGAGAAGGGCATTTCTGTAAAGCAAACTGTGAGTGGCTTAGACAGAGCCATGGTAGCTATGAAAAAAGGTGAAGTTGTAGAGGTGATAATCACTCCAAATTATAGGTATGGTGGCTCATAATTTTGGATGGACTTGGCAACTATACCACCAAGTTCATGAGAGTCCAGGCCTTTTATGACTCCTATCAAGGAACTAAACCATAATAAAATTGGAGACTAGGCAGAAGGATGGCATTTCTATTAGAACTCTCTTGAGAAGTTTAATGAAGTTTTATTAAGCTCGCTCAATTCAATTTGCACTAGGAGAATGACAGCTAGCTTGCAAGTGAGCTGGGGCAAGAGAGATCAAATCTAGTATATTCTCTATTTTGCCAAAGTTAAAGAAACATCAATAATTGAGTGGGAAACCAAACTGTAAAGATACCTATATATTGATAATAGTTAGCTCATCATCATGTCTGCATCTTCCTCTTTCTTGTTTTTGGCTTTGAGTTGGGAAGCCCCATAAGATATTAACAAGCTTCCCTGACACTTGGTGACCAGTTGACGCCTCCATGGTTGATGAAACCAGGATACAACAAGTCAGGCAAGCCTTCCTCTTTGGCCCAGTCCAAATCTATGAAATGTGTGACATGGAGCACTACAGAAGGAGTGAGGAGTGAGCGTGGCAAGAGGGTAGCCACGTAAGAGAGGGGGGTGCTAGATTATGCATTTTTTCTTTCAACAGCCGTAGCTATATAAAGACAACCAAGGAACCACAAGGGAGCATACATCCAAAATGGATCACCACCTGAATTGGACACAAAAAATAATGCCTCCAGCCATAGCAAGGAAAAGAGGCAAATACCATCTGGTTCTGCTTCAATGATGAAAGCTATCTCCTTGGACCTTCCATCACTTGCTAAAACCTGACTAGTAGCTTCCCGGATCTTGACAATGGTGAAATTTAATTGTCATAGCTGCTCTTTTGTGGCAACACAAACAAACCAGAATCCTTGATTGCATGTATGAAATCTATTTCTTGGAAACCAAACAAGCATTTCCTCACTGGACAAATCCATAACAGATGCAAACCTCTCCACAATATCCCCACACTGTTTTTTGGGACGTTGTGGAAACACATGTAACCAAGCAAAAGTTTCTTTGGACACTCGTGTGGCAAACCATGGGCTCTTGTCCTTGTAAACCTGGACACAAGCAAGTCCATGGCCCTAACCTAGAACAAGTTAGCTGAAGTTCCCCATTTCCTCCATTGGCAAGCTCACCCACTTCTTGTTCTTTCATGATCTTTTCATAATCTTAAAAACATTTCTCTATTTAATTTTATTACTTGCAGTCATTCTGAAAAATGAAAATTTTTGTGCTGCCACTACAAGTATCAAAGTAGAAGGCTATGTTTATTGCACTACCTATGGTTCCCTTTTAGATTTGAACAGTACTAGGTTAAATAACTTATTAGAAAATTTAAACTTAGGAGTTTATATTTGGTATCAAAAAGGTCTTAGGTGGTCTCAAACTTAATCTTAAACTTGATCTCGAACTTAGTCTTGTCCAATGAATTCCTTATTATTTCGATTGTGTACCATGCTTTATCCAACTTCTAAGGAGCATAGTGTTTCCAACATAAAAACTCATTTGTCCACCTCAGGTGGTTCTCTTCCTTTTACACTAGCATGTATTACCTTTTCCATCCTTGGCACCTAACTAATATTTGTCAATGGTTTGACATTGAAGGCTCTCTTCTTCCAGATCTCCACCGATGGTTGGAAGTGCCGCTCGATCTTTCCAATCTCTCCTTCCTTAGCTTCAGTTCATATATAAAACACTATATATATAAACAAACAATTTATTATTAAGAACATTATTGCCCCTTTTTCCGTTTTTTCTTCAACCTTTCTATAGCTTCTAGTAATTCTGTGTTCACAATACCATATAGCCTTTCATTGGCCCAAATAGCTGACAAAGGTGGAACCTACAGAACAGACCATAGAAAGTTCAAATAGCATACAACTTTCAAAACTTACCCCTACTTTTTCTTTTGAACATTTTCCTTTTAAACATTCACTCTGCTTAACTTCTTGGAGGCCAGCTTTCCTGCTTGTGGGCATTCTTTTGTTCTCACAACCAGCTTTATATACCCAGTGGAACACCACTCTTTGAGTTTGTGAGAGCCTTCTGAATTCACTTTCTTGTCCAGTTTCATGATGTCCAATGTCACAAATGCTAGGTCACTTCCCATTTTGAACTGTACAAACACAGGCATAATCTTGTTCAGCTTACCATTCCACAGGAAAAACATCACATCTGGTCCTAATTCATAGAATGGCCTTGTCCAACCATATGTTGCAAATGAAACACCAATCTCCACTGACTTGAGCCACTCATTCAGCTGTTCTGCATTCCCAATCTCTTTAACTAGCACTGCTGACACCCCTCTCGGTTTTAAAAGTTCATATGTCTCCTTGTATGTGGTGTGTGTTTCAACCAATCCAAGCAGCTCTGCCAGTACTTTTCAAAAGCACTTCCAAGTGTTGTGCATGCATATGTCTCGAAGTTGATTCTGCATATGGATGGCTGTCTAAATGTACTCATAAAGCGCGTACCCTGTGGCATGTGGTGCCACAATGCATCTACCACCAAAGGCTCTCACAAGATTATATAGCAAATCTCTGTTGTAACTGACAAACTAGGAGTCTCTATTGTAACTGGCAAACTGGGAACTTGAGCTTCATCGGTGACCCCTCTGATATATGGAACTATTGGGGCAAAAGCTTCTGCTCCATCGCTGCTCTCAAGGAGAGTTGCGAGACCACAGTCTACAAGAGTCATGCCCCTCCTCCATCCTGGTACAATCACATGTCCAGCACCTGAAAATGTAAAAGTAAATATCACAATATCATGTAATTCTTGCTGTCTTACCTAAGAGATAGTAAGTAAATATCAGATCTTCTATAAAGCTTGCCATCTCAGGATCGTTCCACAGCAAAACCACATCATCTCTCAAAGAGCGATAGACTCCAAGTTCCCGGCCTGTTTCAGTGATCATCTTTTGTGCAAACTCCATGAACCAATCTGTAGCAGGTGTAGTCTCCATAATATACTTCTCAATAGCAGTTCATAAAAGTCTTCTCCTCCCTGTGTAGGTGGAGATAACAGCTAGCATGTCTAGTTGACTAACATCTATAAACCTTTCCATAAACACTTGGATGTTGCTGCCATCAAACCCAGGTAGACTGTAAATCTCTTCCACATCAAACAGTTTTATAGTTCCAGAAAGAAGATTCTGCCCAACTATCAACATGCTCTTTCCTGTACCTGAAACAAACAGGGCACCATATGACTTAAGAGCAAGGACAATGGGATTCAACAAAGACTGCCCTTCCTGAGGAGTTTGGCCTGATATGAAGCGGCCCTTCATGCACTGTAATAATGACTGAGCTTCGTCCAGCACAACTGTGCCATCCCCCCAACCCAGCTCTTTTACCAGCTTTTCTATGCCCCTAGTGAAGTAATTAACGAAAGAGGGCACTTGATGGACTTCACAGACCAAACCAAGAAACTCCTCAACCAGTCTCAGAAACACGTCATCAACTGCTGGATACTCCAGCTGAAAAAACACCCAGTCTCGTGGAACAAGCCCTGGCTTACACTCTTTCAATAATTTAAGCCAAGTGAGCCGTGCTGCAAGGATTGAGGCCCCCACGCCACACAGCACCACCGGATGCTCTGGGGTAATATTTCTTTCTCCTCCTGGAAAACTGTTTTCCATCCAGTTGGCCACTCTGTGAATATCTTTTGATCCTCCTCCAAACCCAACCATGGGACGGTCACCTGTGAAAAACAAACTGAACCTGGTGCTGGCAAGTTCAATCAGCATTCTTGTTTTCCCTGATCCACTAGGTGCCAGGAGCACAGTAACCTGCTGAACTGACAACTTTCTTACAAATCTTTTGTCCAACTCTACGAGTCCACTTCCAACACCTTCCCACAAATTGCATGGTAAACCATAAAGTGAGCACACGAGTGTTCGAGCAGAAGGGAACCTTCCCTTATAACCTGACTCGTCTATTGCTAACTGTGCTACTGCCGGCCGTTTGACAGAGATATAAGCGTCACACCGACGTGTTATTTCTGTTTCTGTAAACAATAAAATAAGTGAGAAAAAACCAAGAAACCAGTTACAACGCCACGGCATAACCACCGAAAGACAAATGCGCTCGCAGCAGCCCAGTAAAGAATAACTAGCATCTCCATGGCCAAGACACATTTTCTGTATACACAAACTCATGACACAACCAGCTTAAGCCAACACAGAAAAAACAGCCAGCCACAACAAGGTCCACCCGCAGCCATCCAGAAGGTAAAACAACAAGTGAAACCACACAAGTGAAACCACAGAGCGAAGGAAACATCCACGGCCAGTGAATACAAACAAAACAAAACCCCCAAGCAAGATCAAACTCGTCAACACATAGCTCCAAAATGTAGCGCACCACATCAGGCAAACCACCAGTTACAACGGCCAGGCTATAGGCAGATCACTAGGCAAAGAGACGCACGGCACACAGTCACGACCACAGCCAGAAGACACAGACAGCATTAATAGAACGCAAGGGAAGCAGATGGCCATGAATTTAATTACTACCACAAGCCAGACACAAGCACCCAAGCACCAAATCCAACAGCGAAGCAAGACCTTGAAACATCCGCCGATGTCATGGCGCACTAGAACTGGACAACAAATGGGAAATGCATGCATGCGCAAGGAAACAAAGGGCTTTTGCAATTGCGGTGTTTGGTGTTGAAAACTGCTCTGATTTTTGTGCCAAAAGCTCTTTTTGATATATAAGAATCAGTATAATACTTTTTTGAAACCTTAAGAATTTTGTATTTATAGGACCTTGAAAGACAGAAATTAGACCTCAAGATGCAAAAAAAAGTTTAAGAAGCCAGCTTTCAGACATTTACTAATTCTAATGGGTTTACATAATTTTATTAATTATATGAATGAGTCCATTATATGCTCGGGATATCCACTATGGTCAGGTCGTATGGTAAATTAATCTAGTCAACTTTCGAGGGTGTGAAACCCTTGTTTGCCCTTAGCTATGGGACTGCGAATTCGATCCAAGAAATTGTCTCCTCCTTTGCAAGAGAACCAAAATTCCATGGCGGAGGATCCGGAGAATGAAGAGCCAGTGAGTCCCGTTGGAAGAATGCTCATCCAGCCTCGACTTCATTGCACCATTCTCTGCATCATCGGCTTTCAAGACACAGTCAGCGTCCCTGGAATCAAGAGCAAGCTCCTCCAAACCTTTGCCAAGCACAAAAGATTCAGTAGCATCATGGTATGTTCAACTTCCCTCGCTTCAATCTCTTAACGCCTCTCTTTCTTGGGTTTACAGCAACTCGATGGCTCTGGACGCGAGAAATGGGTTAAAACTCGAGTCAACATAGAGGAGCACGTCATTGTTGCAAATATCTTACCAGAGGCCCAGAAGTCTGCTTCGCCGGTTGAGGACTATGCCGCTGCTCTGGCCGTCGCTCCACCGCTCGATCCAAGAAAGCCACTCTGGGAGGTCCACATACTCAACGTCCCGTCGTCGGATTCAGCTGCCAGTTGCATTCTAAGAGTCCACCACTCGCTCGGCGACGGCATCTCTCTGGTTTCCCTGCTTGTAGCAACACTCAGAAGTGTGAGCGATCCAGAAAATCTGCCAAGCATGCCACTCCCACCTCGAAAGCAGCACCCGAAAGGGTTCTTCGCGGGACTCTGGTTTGTCCTCTGGACAGTGCTTGCTACGCTGTGGTACACAGTAACCGAGGTTGGGAGATTTGCAGCAGTCACTTTGTTCTCCAAGGATAGTTCCACGCCAATTAAAGGGTCTCCTGGAGTCGAGCGCATGCCTAAAAGAATTGCATCCACGGAGATATCACTGGAAGACATGAAAACTGTAAAGAAAGCTGTGAATGGGGTACGTTACCTGAACACCCTCTGACTGACTTGGACGTTGGATTCTTTTTTCCTTGTCGCAGACGATCAACGACGTCATGCTCGGATTTGTTTCAGCAGGGATCGCGAGCTACCTGCGTGAAAAATCGCCAAAACAAAATTTTGAAAGCCATCGCATGCATGCAACGGCATTAGTAAACATAAGAAAATCCCCAGGCTTACAGGCAAGTGTAGAATTCTTTCAAGCATGGCCCTCACCGTGTTTTTTTCGTTGTTGTCACAGGAGATAGCAGACATGATGGAGGGATCATCCAAAGCACGCTGGGGAAACCAGATTGGTTATTTGGTCATTCCCATTCCACTGAAAGAGCACACTGATCCACTCGAGCATGTCCGGTCTGCAAAGAAAATCAGCACTAGGAAAAAGCTATCACTAGAGGCTCCATTTACCTATGCAGCCGGCTCCTTGACGATGAAACTTTGTGGACCAAAGGTCAGTCGTATGTCTTCGTCGTCCTGCAAGATTGAAGTTATTTCACTCGCAGATCACAGCGGATGTCACATACAAAACGCTAGCAAATACAACTTTCTCGATCTCAAACGTCATGGGACCTCTCGAACCCATGATGCTCGACGGCAACCCAATCACCAGCATCGTTCCTACAGTCGTCGGACAGCCTCAGGTAAGCTCTCTTTGACGAGGATCGACTAAACCATGTTTTTTTTTTTTATCAGTCACTCTTCATACATCTCCAAAGCTACGCTGGAAAAGCAAAACTAGTGGCCACTGCCGCCAAAGACATCATACCAGATCCTCAAAACTTGCTACAGCACTGCAAAGATGCGCTAGAAAGGATGAAACAAGCAGCAATCACAGCAAAAGAGTGGACATCTTAGAAAAAAGCAAGAACACAAAAGGACTTATTAGACATTGTTCAAAGAGGTCGAAAGGAACAGCCATTGCTGGCTGCTCCTCCGCTACCCTTCTATCTTTCCAGTGCCGTGAGCAAGATCGTAGATTCCGCGCGCCTGGATATCGAGAAATAAGGGCGAAATCTGAGAGAAAAGAGGGGCATACCGTGTAGAATCCCGTGAAGAGCATGAGAGCGCCCGGGATGAAGACCGCAAAGATGCGATCGTATGGCATCTTCAAATGCACCAGTTTGTCCACGCTCTGGAGGTAGCGCTGCTTTTCCCTCACGCGACGAATCTTGTCCGCGTTCATGGCGCCTTCTCCTCGCTCAAAGCCCTAGAAATATCGATCCCCAAGAACCCTAAATAAAAGATATCAATGGCATAGTGCTGAGCGCCATTCGCGATTCCAATGGCGGAGATTTTGCAATGCGCGAGCTTGGGCCGGCATTTCCAGGTAGAGCGCTCCTCTCTCGCACAGCAATGGTGTGGATTTCCAGCTCCTTCGTCTCGGCCGGCATTTGGTGGCTCGTTGGGCTTGGCGAGGAGGAGGAATGGATTGAGCACGGTGTGCATGGCTCATCCCAGGAGAATTAAAATGGTAGCGCAGCAGATTAGAAGGGAGGTCGGGGAGATGCTCATCAAAGACAAAGTTTTGATGCAAGCCATTCTTCCGGAAGCGGCTCTCGGTGCTGACTTGTATCTCTCCTCCGTGACGACTATCAGTGATGTAGAAATCTCGCGGGACTTGCAAGTAAGTTCTCACATTTTTTTCAATGCTTTCTAGCCGGACTTCTTTCCAAGTTTTTACTCTTCCACTCTTCCAGTTTTTCCTCTTTCAACCTTGTCTTCATTGTTTCCTTTGGGCTTGAGCGCTTCCTTTTTGTTTTGTTTCTTTGAGTATCTTGGCCGACTCATAGTTTTCGGTTTTCTTACGAACGGTTCTCTCCAGGTGGCCAAGATCTATATCTCCGTGTTTGGCGACGAGCGAGGCAAAGAGATTGCGATAGAAGGTCTCAAATCTCGAGAGAAATACGTGCGAATGCAGCTCGGGAAACGCATGAAGCTAAGGCTAACTCCCGAGGTTCGTTTCATCGCGGACGATTCGTTCGAGAGGGGTGCCAGGGTACGTTACAAAACTTCCACGCTCTCTCGCGCTTATCAAGTGCTTTGGTTTGCAGGTGATTAAACTCCTGGATAGACTGAAAGAGGAAGCGGAGAGAAAAGAGCGCGGCGAAACTATCCCCGACCGCTCCGACGACGAAGACAGTGACTTTGACGACGATGATGAAGAGATAATCTTCGTGGAGTAGCAAGCAAAGCTAAGCAAGATTCGTGCGAATTCTTAGTGAGATCGACGACGAAGAGATCATCTTCGTGGAGCAATGATCAATCGACATCGTGTCAAGCGATTGGTTTGTTGATTTCGTCTCTTCTACTTTGCGATCGTGTCACGCCACTGGGGGGCTTGATCAAAAGGAAGAATCGAATCGAATTATTTGGACAAGACCATGGAACGTGCGTTAAGAACAACTCATGGTCAAGTGAGTGGAAGAACAATTTTAAAGAGCTTTGGATGGGAGTACGACAAAAAAGGCCAGGCCACACCATGGCGTACGAACGAATGCGCCAGAATCGACGGTCCCTCTTGCTCCCTAGCCTAGGGCAAATATTTCTCGACATCGACTTGGATGCCTACATTGTCGCCCTTGTCGCGATCGATTGTCATTGTCGGTGGTTCTTGGCGTTTTTCCCCTGCGATTCAGCGCTGATGTCTGAGGCGATGGCGATGGATGTGCTTGTGATCGCGCACTGAGCTCAATAAGATGGATCGCTCGTCTGAATCGGTGTTGCAAGGTAGTAGAGCGACAATGCCGCTAGATTGCATCACGGAGGACGATATTCCGCAGGCATCTGTGCCTGTGCCATGCTCTCCTCGCAGATTTTCGTCGCTTCCCAAGGCACTGGAGCAGGTATCGAGAAATTTGCCAAAGAAGGGATTCCGCTCCTTCTCCCACACCGGAATCTACTATCCCAAGCGGAGCCTGCCCGAAGAGCTCGATGCCGATGTCAAGTGCGTTCCAAAATTCTCCGCGCTTGCGTTTGGAAAATCCAAGATGGAGCTCGCTGCAAGCCAAGAGGCTCAAGAAGTGTCTACGAGCGAGGTAAAATCCTAGAGAAATCCTAGGAGGACTTTTACATGGTTTTGGATTTGTGTGTTTGGCAGAATGTGCTTCCCAGGGCGTGTCGTATCAGAGTAAACATTGTCGCCGTCAAAAATCTCAAAAAAAGAGTACGCGATGTCGACGTCAAGGTGGCTGGGCTCAAGCTAAAAGTGGAGAACCAGTCGAGACATTCTAAGCAGGTACACAAGCTTAAAACCCAGTGAGATCTGAGAGCTCGGTTTGCCATAGGCCTCGAGGATTTCCCCAGCGTCTGAGAGCATTTTAGCGAGCTTGTGTAGTTGTCCGTTTGAGAGGTATATCGTGGAATGCACAGAAAGGAATGTGTGATTCACTTGATCATAATAGCGTGGACTAGGTTGCTATGCTGGAGTGGATCGCCAGGTGCGGTCAGGCAAGAGAAACAGGTCTTGTCCCCACATTCGCGAGCAACATTTCCTCTTTTTTCTTTCCTCTGCTACCTGACCGCTTCTCTGTTTTGGGCTGCTCTCAGATTCGGGTCGGAGCGATCGAGCAAGATGGATCCGTTAAAGTTAACCAGAGCTTCACTTTTGACATCAAGGATCCAAATGTACAATTTTTGCAGCTTTGCAAGTATTTTCCTACTGACGAGTTTGGGTGGTTGGACAGAATGCAGTTCTGCTGTTACACGTCGTTTCTAAGACACGTTTTGGAGGAGAAGACTCGCTTGGGATTTCTACGGAAGTTCGTGTTGCTGATCTTCTCGATAAAAAGGGAGGTCTGAGGAAGATGTCTTTTCTCCTTGTGCCACCTTATTGCTCTGTTTCATTTCAGGTGGTCAAGATGGAAAAACCAAGTGGTATGATCTTTTTTCAAAGACTGGGAAGAGACTAATGCCGGGGAAGGTGATCAGTCTGTTTGCTTGACTTTTAAAAATGTTCGTTGTTGTCGTGTATTTGCAGGTTTTAATGGACATAGTTGCAGGAATAGCTGAACCCGAGCATGATATCAGTGTTTTCTTGGGTACATGGAATGTAGGAAACGCAAGACCGGTATGTCAGCTATAATTCTGGGCCAATTTGCTGATCTTTGGCAGCTCAGGCTGCGGATTTGTCATCGTGGCTTCCTACAAAGAGCGAGCACGAGCTGCTAGTTATTGGTGCGCAGGTAGAAAAGTCTTTGTATGTTCCTGAGGACTGCATAACGCCATTATTTATTTCAAGGAATGCGATTATCCGCCTCGACCACCTTTCTCGGACTGTGCCAAAGACTGGATAAACAGTGTAAAGTATGTTGTGCTTAACATGGGCGTAATGTAGGATTTTATTTTTTCTCTGAAAGATTTTGCAGTTACATGCAGGTCTTGCATAGGCCAAAGATACAAACTTGTTTGTGCTGTGTCACGAAGCCAGATCCGTTTGGCGGCGTTTGTGCGAGATGATGCCGAGGTAACTTTTTGTTTTCTACACAAGTGTTCTAGATTCGCTATGCAGAAAGCCATATCGGAGATGGATAGTGGAAGTGAAGCCACAGGAGTGGGCCATGTCGTGGCAAACAAAGGCGCGGTATGCATTGCTTTTAAGGTAACAATTCCTTATATTTTGGTCTGTGAATGATCCTGTGCTCGTTCCTTCAGTTTTGGGATACGGATTTGTGCTTTGTAAACTCACATCTAGCTGCACACATGGGATATTGTGACGTGCGAAACGGCAATTACCGAGGTTCAGTAGGACGTTAATTGTATATACTATAATGTAACTGAAATTCTGATCTGCAGAGATTGTCGAGAATCTGAGCATTGGCTATCAAGGAATGGACATTTTAAGTAAATTTCATCATGTTTTCTGGATGGGAGATTTGAACTATCGTCTGGATTTTGAAAATGTCGAAGAGAGAACAGTTTCACCGGAGTGAGTAATGAACATAGTAATGCTTATTTTGACGTTTTGGAGCAGGAAAGGCGTCTGGCAAAAGGTTGTCGATCAGATCAATGCTGGCAATTACAAGGAGCTCTTGGATCACGACGAGGTTTTGTTTGTTTCACATGTCCTTGGACTTCATATTGTGATTATCTCAGTTGACAAGAGAGATTGCAGCGTCAAGGGCTTTTCATGGATTCAAGGAAGGGAACATTGGTTTTGCTCCAACATTCAAGGTATAGATGCTTATCCGAAAACTAGGCTTCTTATCACGTTTATTGCAGATGATTCGGGACACTTTATCTTCATACAATGAGAAACGTCTCCCAGCATGGTGCGATCGTATTTTGTGCCGGTCATTTGATGGGTGCTATATGAGACCAACTTCTTATTTTTCAGCGCCTGAAATCTGTACTAGGTACCTCTTCATACGTCAACTTACCAGACACTAAAGCTGATAAACTGATGGTAGTGATCACAAGCCAGTGGGGGCAACCGTGTCACTTACAGCATATGCGCTTCCTTGCTTGAACTTCGATGCTGACGGGAGAAAATGGCACATACTTGTAAGTTTCATTTAACGCGTTAGACGTACCGAGCTTGATGCTTTCGTGCCAGCTTACGTCACTGGAGGCTCAAGGATTGCGGTCGTCAGATATAAACGGTTTTTCAGACCCGTAAGTGGTGTTGCTTCTTTCACTCAACTTCTCCCAGGTACGTGTCTTTTGGAGGTGCAAACCTGGTGAGCGAGTTTCACTCCAAAGTCAAATATCGAACACTGAATCCAGTATGGGATCCTGCGAAGGTAGCTCTTCCTCTAGCTGATTCTTTCAATGACTACAACTCGTATTTGCATCTGCCAAGGACCTGCCTAAGCTAGTTGTCACTGCAAGCTCCCTTCACCGGCTGGAGCACGAATATTTGATGTGCCATGTTCTTGACTATGACTTCACTTCGGCTAACGACACTCTTGGTAAGGCCAGCCCCGTCCCATTCTTCAGGATGATTGGATAGCATTCTTTAGGATTCGGAGCAATTCCGCTCAATGGTGTCGTTGCTGCATTCAAGCGAAGTCCGGACGAAGTTGCTCAGTTTAAGATCGAGCTGCTGCACCGCGGCCTTCCCGCTGGCATCCTCAAAGGTGGGATGAAGCTAACGTGGGAGAAGAGCTTGGTCAAGCAAAAAACTTCTCTCGCCGATAGCTTGATTGTGCGGACTTTGACACTACGGAAGAGTTTCAAGAAGACGTTCTTCGCTAGAGAACACTTCCAGTGAGCCATGGACGACGGGTGGGTTGGATCTTCTTTTTCATTCATTTGGTATGATCTGTTTTAATCGTTAATGTTGTGTTTCTAGGCTTTACGAGGTAGTTACTGTAAAGGGTCTCATTTTCTTGGCGTGGCCTGGCGTCTTCTGCGCGACAACGAGCAAGGTATGGCGACATTCCTCCAACCCATCTAGCTAGTTTGATCTCTCCTCTTTTTTATTTTCTTCAGTTAGTAGTGATGGATGAATCTCCTCCCGAGTCGTCGTCCCGGGTAATCAAGCTCAAGGGGCTGTTCGGGCTTTTGATCGACACCCAAGACGAGACAGTGATCCGGCCCTCGACGATGCCGTTCCCTCACCTCCAAGCCAATCCCAACTTTGTGGATGGCGTAGCTTCCAGGGACGTGGTCATAAGCGACAGTCCCTCCATCTGGGCCCGGGTGTTCCTCCCCGAGAAGGCCAGCCTCGTCCGCGATGACAAAGCTTTCAAGAAAGTCCCAGTGATCCTCTACTTCCACGGCGGTGCCTTTGTGATCCTCAGCCCCGACATCTCTTTCTACCACCAGTACTGCGAGAAGATCGCCAGAAAGACAAATGCGGTGGTGGTGTCGGTGGACTACAGGCTGATCCCAGAGAATCGTCTTCCTGCTGCGTACGACGACGCCTTTACGGCTCTGAGCTGGTTGAAGACTCAGGCCACCGCTGCAAACGAGCTCGTCGACCCGTGGCTGGCGACGTACGCGGACTTCGGCAAGATCTTCCTTATGGGCGACAGTGCCGGAGCCAACATCGTCCACCATCTTTCAGTGCGAGCTTCTTCGAGTGACTTGGAGCCGCTGGCGATCAGAGGACAGATTTTGGTGCAGCCGATGACGGGGGGCCCGGACAGGCTGCGCTCGGAGGTTGTGGGTGCTAAGAACGGATCATTCTCCTTCCAGACCAACGACTGGTTGTGGAGACTGGCTCTTCCCAAAGGCTCCGACATGTCTCATCCGTATTGCAATCTCCCGGCGGCTGTTATGGAGCTGGCAAAGGTTCCTCTGCCTCCGGCTCTGGTGGTGTTGGGAGGAGTAGACTGGATGCACGACAGGCAGTTTGAGTACGTCGCTTCGTTGAGGAAGACCAAAAAGGAGGTGGAGCTTCTCGACTATGAGAAAGCTAAGCATGGCTTCTTCATCTACGATACCGAGGAGACAGGCAATTTCCTTCGAGCACTGGCTGGCTTCGTCACCAAGCGCTCCAGGGAGGCTAGAGCATGAGTTTAAAGTTTACCAGTTAGATAGAAGCGAGTTACCTCCCTTTTTTTTCAATCTTCCTTCTAATTGTGAAATCTTTTGGCAAATGTCTCGGCCACGAGCAAAGGAAACGCAATTGTTGCATCGCAGTGAACCTGTTCTTCAAAGAAAAAAGAATGGTTGGAGGAGATCAAGAGAGAAACTTGTTTGGTTACCTTGACAGGATCCGAGTCTCCGCGAATTTTTCCCCAGGAGATGGCTTCGTCCGGCCTCGCACCAGAGTCACTACCGTCAAACTCCTGAGCTGTGTTGATAAAGACGGAGAAATCAGCACCGTTTCTCATCATGTTGGCGTTGCATATGTGATGCTTTGGAACTCCGCCGCCGAGGACGATGATCCCAGTCTTACGGAGGCCCGCACGAACAGCCTCATTGTTCATGCCTCGTATATCTACGCGAGAGTGAAGTGGAGGTCAATGAACATTGAATCTTTTTTACCTTGGACTATATCAATCACTAGCCCTGGATTCCGAAAGGATTGGAAATAAATCATATCACCTAAAGAGCCGTCGGTGAGAGCAGGGCAGTAGATTGGAATACCATTCTGTAAGCCAGTTGACGAGTCACAAGGATGAGTTTTGGAAGAGCTAGTTTACCTTTTGAGCCCAGTAGCAAACGGAAGAAGGATGGTTGATCTCTCTCCCGAGTCTCGCGATCACTTTTGATGGCGTCCAGACGATTCCCTTTCAGAGTAAAGCTGAGGAGGTTAACCGTGTTGTTACCAGGAAGCTGGAATGGAAGTTCTAGTACCTGCTGTGTCTGCTCGACGAGAAGTTGATCGAGTATAGGCACCACCCAGTCTTCAAACTTGCAGTAATTCTCGTTGGGGACCAGCAAGTTCCCGATGCGATTCAATCCTTTGGAGCGAAGCTGAGCACCAGGCAATGCAAAGTCTCCCATATAAGTCGGGCAGAGGCATTTGATCAAATCCTCCTCGATTCCTCCGGCAGTGGTCACCAAAACATCCACCTACGAAGATCACCACCATTGATACAGTTGATAGAGAAAACGAAAAAAGAAAGCTTTTACCATGCGGTGCTCTACGAGAAAACGAATGCTCTCTCGAACACCAGAGGAGATGAGATTGGACGTGAAGCCCAGGAAGATCTTACACTTCACACTCTCTCGAAAAGAGGGCTTTCGCTCTTCCTCTGTCGCATCCTCTGCCACTGGCTCCATGCTCAGCCGCCAATCTAGCTAACAAACAGGAATTTCCTTCAAAACTTCGCGAGAAGAAATATTACCATGTCGTTGACAGTAGAGATCGCGCGACCGAGAAGCGATGCTTGGAATCCAGTCCGAGCCATCGACGCGAGGAGATCGCCGTAGACGACGCCACCATTGAAATCGTAGCCTAGAACCTCGTCTGCACGGCCTCTAAGCGCCTGCGATGGGCGCATTACCGATTCGTGCACGCTCCCCGGCAGCATTTCATCCTCCTCTCCCATCCAAAAACCCTAAGCCCTAAACTTCTTGCCATGGTATCTTATCCCACGGATATTCGTATCGCCTTAAGCAGAGAAGCCCTAAATTCGCCATAGCCAAGGGTTTGCGAGCGAGCACAGCAGGTAAGATCGCTCTACGATAGCAAAATCCAACCTTTTTCTTGTGGCAGCGCTGTTGTTGAGCGATTTCGTCCGCCGCGCCTCTCGACTTCTTCTTTTTTCGATTTTCCTGCCACTGCCGAAGGATTGAAAGGGTACTGTGCATCGTGTTTTTCATCTTTGCCGTGCCTGCGGCTTTGATTGCATCGTCATTTTTCGAGTCATTCAAGCTGGTTCCTCACAGCAAAGGGGATTTTGTTTTCCATCTGAGATATGTGTCATTTTTGAGTGCCTGCCATGCGCACTTGTGCGTCGTTTCCTCGCCATGGTTTTTACCTCGCCCCTGTGGTCTGGCTTGAATTGCCTGGTCCTTCCCGGGTCCGGTGTAGAGGGCGGTTAAGTCTGTGTGAAACTCGCAGCCATTTTGGCTACTGCTGCTCTCGATACTCCAGAGACAAAGGCGGAGGCTGGTATCATTTAGTTAAGGGAAGCTAGCTTGTAGTTTTTTCGTTTTTTCTTGTTCTTCGTGTTTCTGGTGACCACCGAAAGCGTGAGATGGACTGCTCAATGGCAAGCTCTGCTGCTGCTGTTGCTGATGAAGCCGGAAGACTGGAAGACATTGAAGCTGTAACGGCCCAACTCTGGTCCGTGAAAGTTGCCGACTTCTCGGAGTTTGTTATGGAACGTCCCGAGGCCGCCTGCAATGAAGAGAAGATTGAGGCCGCCTGCAAGATTGCTGCCGAAGGCTCGTCTGCCTTGAAGCATGGTTTTTCGCCGTCGTGGCTCTGTGCAATCTGTCTGGAGAAGATACGAGTGGAAGACACGGCACAAATCAAAGGCTGCGACCATGCTTACTGGTACTTCATGCATGCATTTTGATACAACGCTAATTATCCTAGCTCTTCTTCTTTTCTGTTTCCAGTGCGAACTGCATCCTGAGATGGGCTTCCTACAAGGAAAGTCCATGGTGTCCTCAGTGCAAGCTTCCATTTTCTTCTTTGTTTGTCTGCAAGACACTTGATGGAAGGTACGGTTTGTGATTTTCCTTTTCATGGTTTTCATGGTATACTTTCGTCTGTCACAGGATGAGTGACTTCATGGTTGAAGAGAGCGTTTGTCTTCTGCTGAGGTCCACCTGGTTCAAGCCTCTCCCTCCTGCAGCCGCTCAAGAGCCAGAAGACGTTGAGGATTACCAGGACGAGGATGAGCTTTACGAAGAAGAGTATTACTACACTTCGAACGTCCGGCTGGGTAACAGGCGGTGGGGTGACAGTGGCTATGTTCGTGGTGGGAGAAAGGAAGCACGCCCAGTAAGCGTTCGTCAGGTGACAGCCGGTGAAGGAAGTGCTTCAGGCGGTGGCAAGGGAAAAGACGTTGTGAAAGAAAGCGTGAGCGTTGGACGACGAGCGAAACGGGCTCAGAAGCGTGTGGAAGCTGAGCTCAAGCTCAAGCAGAAGGATTGCAGCGACAGCACGCTCGTCTAGTGTCAATCAAGGTATGGATTCGTAGGATTTTGTTTCTAGAGTTTCTAATACTCGATTCTTCCTTTCTCAGAGACGGCACAGGAATAAGATCCGATCCAGGTATGGATTTGTGGTTTCTTCATAGGATTTCTTTTCTAGAGTTTCTAATGCTCGATTCTTCCGTTCTCAGGGACGGCACAGGAATAAGATCCACTCAGAAGCTTTTTGGCTGGAAGTCTAAAGGTTCCTCTTTACGATACAATAGAAAACAAGCTTGTGGTATTAGTTTTTCCTCGTTTTATATTTGTGGCAAGTGAAAGGTCAGGGGTTTCTATTCGAGAGCTTTCCACCATCCGCCCGCCACCATTGCAAGTGCTTTGCTTTTTGTTTTGTTTTGTTTCGTTGGCTTGCAGTGGACAGGAAGAGTCCATCAATCAATCAATCAATCAATCAGAGTAAATCAATCACAAGCAGAATTGCTCGCTCACTTTCAGCAAGGGGTGGCGGAAGTTTTTTGTTTTGGGCGAACACACCACCTTCTGCTTAAACACTTCGATGTGTACTACGGCTCCTGTGCTGAGGAGACCACGGCCCAATGGGCATTACTGGCCATGGAATCCAAGCTCGGTACGGTGCTGGGGTTTATTTGTCCCCAAGAGAGAGGGAAGGGGGTAAATAAACGTGACCAGTGACAAGTGGTGTCTCACTGCCGGGTAAACTCTCAACAAAGCTGCCCGTCACACAGCCGACCATCACACACTACTTGAATGCCCGTGCCCCAGTGACGGCTACGTACGCTAAAGCTGAAGTTTTTACCGCCCGCATTAACTCTAGTTGACCGCGCCACGTAGGCGCGGTGACAAGAGGTTTTTACCTCGTCGTCTCTATCGCAGGAAATCTTTCTTTTGCCCTTATAGCGGTGAAGGGTCGTCACGCGCCAAATGCCCCATTTGTTTTCGCGGCGGGCATGGTGATGATCCAGATCGACCAGGCGACGCAGCCACGGCGCGCTCCATCTCTCTCCGGCATTGGCATCGATTTCGAGCAAGGTTCTCTGTAGCGATGGATTTCTCTTGGGCCTTTCTTTCTAGAGAGTCGGTAGATAGCGTCGCATCGCATTGCAGCTCTTGCCGGGGAGAATTCGCTGAGGCTGCTGCTGCTGCTGCTGCTTGTCGATTCGATTCTTTGTCTGTGAGAGAGGTGAAATATTGGCTTGTTTGTTAGGGAAGGGGTGCGTGTGTTTAGTTTCGGTTCGTTGTCAAGCTGTTAGAGATTTTTGGCTGCTACGCTTGCATGTTTTTCCGTGATCCTTGATTGCGTGGTCGGTCGCTCTCGAGAGTTTTCGCTATCCCTTCATCATAGTGAATGAGCTCTGCCGCACCTGGAGCTTCTTGTTTTGGGTCAATTTCTACACCTTTCCTTTTCTCGCTCAGAGGTTTTTGTCTTCCATCGCCTTTAGTCTCCGTTGCTCCCCTCCTTGACGTCGTTTTTAGTTCGTTTGTTCGTTCGTTGCTTCGCCTGCGAGCAGAGGAAGGACCACTTTGATTCTTCTTAATTGCACAAACATCATCCTGCCTGGGTTTGTTTTTTGTGCTGGTCGCGAATCAGCGGCAGCATGCCGACGATTGATTCTCTCCGCAGAGTTGAGTGAGAGCTGAGCTGCGTCTAGCTTTTTCTTCCAACTTATAAGTAAGCAGGATAGCTCTCACTTCACACGAACAGAGCTTGTGCTTGACATTATGGAAGCGAGAGCTGTCTTTCTTGTCTTGTTTGATTCGAGCTGAGAGCTTATCATTCTTTCTCCTTGAGTGTTTTTTCTTTATCTTTTTGCTTGTTTGTTTGTGTGTGTTCTTCCAGCCGCGTAGAACTCGCGAGCTCTGAGCGCTACTGCCACTGCTACTGTTGCTCCTAAGTCATTTCAGTGCATCTCTGTTGCCTGGCCAGAAACGCAAATCATATCCGCTAAGGGAGTTGTAGCTAGCTGTCACTACACTTCTCTATATTAATTCTGGCTCTCTCTCTCTGGCTTAGCTCCTCTGGCCCTGCCACTGGCTGGCTGGATGGTTTCTTGCTGGGAGGCAG